TCTTTTTACAGTATTGGGACACAGATGAATGGAAGAAAAAATCTCTTATCGGGAAGAGGAACCGTAGCACTTATGTTGATTCTGGGGTGACAGCTACGTATACAGGCGACAACATCGGAGTCAGCGAGACTCGTAAGCGGATGGTAAGTAATCATAATTATAAATTTTATTAATATGTTTTCTCTTGGCACCAATTACATCAACTATATTTTCGTTTATGTAGAAAAAGTTGATGGGTAAAGACCCAGACTGGGTCGATGTGTTTATGAAGACACGTCTTACAGCAGAGTCGAAGACAAAGTATTTTAATGGAGATGGTGAGGGATTGCAATATATCACTACTATAGCGCAACAAGCATATGTAAGTTATCTTTTATCATTTTCATATAGACTGTTTTGGTTTTCTATACAATTAAAATGGTGTTGTTTTGATAAATTATAGGAGGCATATAGGAGAGGCCTCGTCGAGAAGTATGGAGACGATCCGACTCAACAAAGAACTAATGATCCTGAGTTGTGGGCCGCCACACAGATGCAGAGGCAGGGAGGGAAAGGCAAAGGTCGCATCTATGGGATTGGATCATCTGATCTTCATTTTGTTATAAGCGGGGCATATTCTTTTGGGTCTACCTCGTCCTCGGCTGAACAATCACAACAAGAGGTATACTTATTCGATAAATGCATTATGTTTTATAGAGAAAAATAAAAATATGTCGTTGCCATTATGGATAGTACATGGATGAAAATAAATTATGTTGCTATTATGGGTGGTCGAATTAAAATGCATTGCTTATTATGGATGAATACCATAGTATGTGTAACGTCCGCAGATTCGGGCTAGTCAGTTTTGAGACAATAAGCGTCAAAAAAATGAATTTTTGATAGAATATTATTTATAATAAATAATCTTAACTAAGTTGTAGTATATGTCACAAGGTTTCCGTACATATAAAGAACGCTAAAATCCGAGTTATAACGAAGAAGTTATGACATGTCGAACTTTCGCGACAAAACTGGCACGACACCGGGAATCATAAAAAGTGAGTTTATGATAGATTACTTTTTAGCCTTAGGATTCTAAATGAAAGTTGTAGAGTATATCTCCACCTTCGCGTGGATATAAAGAACGTCAAAAACGGAGCTCGTATGCAAAAGTTATGGCCTTCCGAAGTTGTAGCTATCTGAGAGCATGACACGTGTCAGAAACCCTAATCTGACTGGGCTCACGACGTGAGCACTAATTCTCACGACGTGAAAATTTTTAAATTTTTTCCTGGTAAAGCTCAGCCTGTCAACTCAACTGAGTGTTAGACTCATTCCTGCTATCATTTAGCCTCGTTTAGAGTCCGTTTAAAGGTCTAAAGGTCAGTACATTCAAGCATTGAGCATAGGAATGGATCACGTACACTTATAGCATCAAAACCGGGCCTTACACTCCAACACAAGGAGTGTACGGTCGCACACATGGGTGTGCGGCCGCACACCCCTCTCCTGGCAGCACACTCACGTGTATAAGTCTATAACTCAGCCTCCTTTCATCCCTTTTCACCCTCCCAAGCCTAGAACACGATTTCTCTCTCAACTATCATCCGATTTGCAGCCTAGATCTACGAGTTTGTTAGTGTTCTTCCTTAGATTTGTTGTTAATCTTCATAAGCTAGTAACATCCTTTGATTTCATCCATTTGAAATCATGTTTTGGCTAGATCTTCAAATCTCACCAAGAACACACACTTGTTCTTGGTGATTTTGAGCCTTCTCGAGCCTCCGGTTCGTAAGTACTCTTTCCCAATGCTTGAATCTTGTTTAGAACACTTGATTTAGTCTTAGAAACTGCCCAGAACTCAAGAACATATGGTGTGTGCGGCCATACACCCCTCAAACACCCTCAAAACACCCCTAAAGGCTTCCATATTGTGAGTACCATTCCCTAAGCTTGTTACTTACTATATATGAGCCTTAGAAAACGTCCAAACCATGTTCATCAAGGATTGTGTGGCCGCACACACTCCATGTGGCCGTACACCCCTTTGTTTAGTGCTTAAGGGCCTCTACAGTGCCTTTCTAGCTTCAACACTTGATGAGCATTAGTCCTACAAGCTTCCCTATCATTATAATAGACTTTTGTGCACTCGTTACCATGAGTGTGCGGCCGCACACTCCTCAAAGTGGTCGTATACTCCCTTTAGATGAATCACATGTGATTCCAACACTTGGTCAAAGTGTTTCCTAGTCCCGTAAGGTGTTTCCTTGGATTTGGTTGCTTTTAAACACTATATTTATGTCAATATATGCCATTATGTGTCATTTAGGACTCGTTAAGTCTCGGGACTTCATTCGTGGAACTTCTCATCCTTACACACATATTCGTTTGAA